GGGAGTTCTCCAGAAGTCTTTGTGCTTCTGGGCTTCTCTGAACGACCCTCGCTAGAACCTGTCCTTTTCGTCATTGTCTCAGGGATTTATGTGGTGTCCGTCTTGGGCAACAGCACCATCATTCTGCTTTCCTGTATGGATGTGCACCTCCACACCCCTGTGTACTTCTTTCTTGTCAACCTTTCCTTCCTGGACATTAGCTTCACCACGAGCATCGTCCCACAACTCCTGGTCAACCTCTGGGGTCCACAGAAGACCATCCGCTATGGAGGCTGTGTGGCCCAGCTCTATATCTCCCACTGGTTGGGGGCGACTGAATGTATCCTCCTGGCAGTCATGTCTTACGATCGCTACGCTGCCATCTGCAGGCCACTCCACTACACTGTCGTCATGCATCCACAGCTTTGCCGCAGCCTGGCCTTTGCCTCATGGCTCGGGGGTCTGACCACCAGCATGGTTGGTTCCACGCTCACTATGCTCCTGCCTCTGTGTGGGAACAATCACATTGATCACTTCTTCTGTGAGATGCCCCTCATTATGCAACTGGCATGTGTGGACACCAGCTTCAATGAAGTGGAGATGTATGTGGCCAGTGTCATCTTTGTCGTCTTGCCTCTGGGTCTCATCCTGGTCTCATACAGCCGTGTTGCCTGGGCTGTGTTGAAGATCAGGTCAGCAGAGGTGTGGAGAAAGGCACTCAACACCTGCTCTTCCCACGTGGCAGTAGTGGCTCTGTTTTATGGGAGCATCATTTTCATGTATCTCCAGCCAGCCAAGAGCAACTCTCACGAGCAAGGCAAGTTCATAGCCCTCTTCTATACCATCGTCACCCCGATGTTGAACCCCCTGATTTACACGCTGAGGAACAAGGATGTGAAGAAGGCTCTTAGGCACATTGTCTTAGAGAACCGCTGTGGTTTTGGAGGGACACGAGGGCATATTTAGAAACTCATCACTTATGAGGAGGAAAAACAGAGTTAAAAGTATCAATATTGATTTGGAGGGGCAGGATACTTGGGACGTCATTTCTGTCTAGTGTTGCTTGAGTGCAAGGTAAGAGCAGGTATATTTTCAGGCCAAGATAAAGAGAAAGTATTTTCTATTTTTATTTTTTGTTAATAATAATATTCTGTTAATTGTTTACATAGCTTATATGTGTAATGTGTATGCTAGTTATGATACTGTTAATTGTTTACAGAGTTACATGTTAATTGTTATATTATTTTGTGACATTTTATAGCAATGTCTGCCACTGAAGGTGCCTAATCTGTATGAAGTCCTTTACATTTTCCTCCTGATATTTGTAATGACTCAGTAAGGTAGATACTATTGACCTCATAAAGTTTAGGCAATTACAAACTTACTAAAATTTTAGGCTGAGATATGTCTAGGTCTGTTTATCCATAGACATATTTGGCATTTTGCCTGCAATCTCTTGTGATGTAATAAGAAATATGTGCATCTGTTCTTTGCCCCTGACTCCTTGGCACAGAGCTTCAAGGTCCCTTAGAATTTTCTAAGTGATGTGGATGAGAAGAGTGTCTTTTGTTATTCATAACAAGCCCATTTCAAATGCACCTGAGTTTATGCCAATGAGGTGACTCAAAGTAGGGTCCTTTAGATAGCTTCAGATGGGGTCTGGATACCAGAGAAACCAACCATGTGATTAGAAGGTTGGAATTTTCAGCCCCACCCTCAACCTTTGCAGAGGGGAGAGTGGCTGGAAATTAAGTCACCTGTGGGCAGTGGTTTAATCAGTCACCCCCATGCAATGGACAGGGTTTGGAGAGCTGCAGGTTGGTGAAAGAATCCATGTGCCAAGAAAGTAGTGGACCCCAGACTCTGCAGAGACAGAAGATCCTGTGCTTAGGAGCTTTGCAGACCTCATCTCATGTACCTCTTCATGTGGCTATTCATTGATACTCTTTCGGATAAACCAGTTGACTTAAGTGTTTCCCTGAGCTATGTGAGTCATTTTAGCAAATAACTGAACCTGCAGAAGGGGTACTGGGAACCCCTGATTTATAGTCAGTTGGTCATAAGTATGGGTAGCAACCTGGGGCTTGGAACTGCCTCCTGAACTGAGAATGGTCTTGTGGAGGACCTACCTCTTATATCTGTGGGTTCTGATGCCAAATGCAGATAGTCAGTATCAGAATTAAATAGAATTATAGGACACCCATATATTGAGAGCTTAGTATTGCCATCCACATTTCTGGAATTATAATTTCACTGATTTAATTTTCACAAGAAAGTTATTATTTAGGTACTATCATTATCCCCATTTTATACATGAGTAAACTGAGGCACAAATTATCAAATCTTGGAAGAAAGGAAGCTCATATTTTAATATAGGCAGTTAGTTTCAGTGTGCCCTGCTCTTTCTTGAGTTTTTTCCATTAAATGACATTAAAATACTCACACTCATACACTCATATCTTGAACTGGTTTCCAGCAATTGATATGCATAGACATTCAGGATTTTTTTAAATTTTATTTTTCTGCTATGTTATGTGATGTGTGTAGGTTTCTTTCTTCTACTGAATTATTTTCTTAAGATAACATCCAGAATGTACATTATTGAGGCAAATAATACAAGAATTTCATTTTTTTTTTACAATTATTGCTTGTATATTGGCAGTTGGAGGGGAAAACAGATTGGGATGCAGCTCAGTTTACTTCACAAATCTGCCTTAAAAATGAAAGTTGGGGAGGGGGCATCAGGAATGGAAGAATGAGGCCCTCAACTCCCACAGATACATCAAAAATACATATACATGTGGAACAATTCTCATAGAATACCGTCTGAACTCTGATAGAAGATCTTATACAAATAAAACCACAAGAAAAATCTTCATGGAACCAGGTAGGAAAAAAAAAAAGAGAGAGAGAAAATAGTTGGAACAGGACCTATGCCCTGGGGAGAAAGCAGTGAAAGAGAAAAAGTGCCCCCACTCTGGGAAGCCCCCGCACCAGTGGGAGATCCGCTGGGTCAGAATAGGAGCTTCAGAGGCTCGGAGGAAAACACAGCAGCTGCTTTATGGCAAACAGAACAGAAAGACGCTGGCACAGAGGATATGTGCAGTCCCCAGCCCAAGACGCGAGCCTGCTGGTGCATGCTGGGCCTGGGTGCTGGAGCTCAGGCTTCAAAGGATGGACCCAGGGAGAGAACTGGAGTTAGCTGTGTGAAGGCGGTCAGATGAGGCTAGAGTGTGGTGAGGACCCAGGCCGGGAGTGTGTGTGAAGGAGGCCGGGTTTGGTATATGTGGAAGCAGGGGGAGGACCCCGCCAGAGCAGCCTCCTTCTCAGCAAGCTCACAGGGCACGGCCCTGCCGTAAAAGCACCATTATTCATGCATGCTCTCGGAGGGAGGTATGGGACCCCGCCATGGCAGTCTCCCTCTCAGCCTGCTCTCAAAGGGCACAATCCCTGGTGGGTTTCCCCCAAGTGGAAGTGGGGCTGAAATCTGAGCCACGTCCCAGACAGCGTGGGCAGATTTATGCTGCTGGTACTTTGTAAACTCAGTTTCTGTGGGACTTTCGAACACGATACTGATGTGCAGCTGGGTTGACCGGGCATTAACAGCAAGTGTGTGCATTCCGAGGCAGGGCTGGGATCAGGGTGGACCCCGTAGTTGCAGCTGGAGTCTGAAGGCAGTTTGGTGGCAGAATTCCCTCTTCCTCTTCCTATGGTGACCTCAGTCTTCCCCTTAAGACTTTCAACTTACTGGATGAGGCCCATACACTTTATGGAGAGCAATCTGCTTTACTCAGTCTATTTGTCAGCGGATAAAGGAACCCCAAATTGAAAAGCCCACCAAGTGGGTGGCAAACCTCCCCAGATGTGTGGGTCCTTGTCCACCAAATGAGAAAGAATTCTCAGTAGAGGCAGAGGAACAAAGTGAAAAAAGAACTGCTTTTATTGCTCAGAGAGAGAGGAAAAGGAAACAGTCGAGTGGAAGCCATCAGCCAGGTAGCCTGTTGAGACAGCTCTGGGCACTTATTGGGCTGTGGGATCTTTTATTGGAAGGCTCTGCCATTGTTTCCTTCATTCCTGTAGTGCAAACCGTCCTCTATTGGCTACTTTCTCCCATGGAGCTCAGTCCTAAAACAGACTTCAGGGGTGGGAGAAGAGAACAAAGAAAGAGATACTGGGGTATTTCCTTAGAACTAATGCAGCAGTTGTGGGACAGAAATTGCTGAACTGCTTCCTATAAATAAGAAGCCAGCTGTGGGAGAAGAGGAGTGTCCTGCCTTTCATCAGGCTGGCATTTTACTTTCCCTCGTTAATCAGCCAGGGTCAGTAAGAATACCTAATCACCTCTCATATTGATTTAAATGTTAATCTCATCTACAAATACCTTTATAGCAACATCCAGACTGCTGTTTTGCCAAATATCTAGGTACTGTGACCTAGCCAAGTTGACACCTAAAGTTGACCATCATGGAGACTGACTAGTTCCAGGAAACAGTTGACACTTTATTAATTTTATTATTTAAAAAAAAACCTTAATCAAAGAATCTTATTTTCCGCTTCTATTGTAAATTTTAAGAAAAAAGGTAATGTGAAGTAAGCTATGACTTTCCACTAAATCTTGAATCATAGCTACTTCAGAATATCTAAAGGCAAAAATATATGAGTTGATAAAATACAATTCTATTTTCATCACAATTAGCTTCATTTTCAGCCTTGTCATCATCATTGCCATCATCACGTATCCTGGAAAACTCTCCCATAGTAAGCAGTTGTGGTTCCCTTGTTTCCCACACTCTTCCTGTCCATGTGCCACCACACCACTATTCTCCTATGACCCTCTGTTACTGAATTATTAAAAATTATATCCCTAGTTTTCCCTCTGTGCGGGCATACTGCCTACTTGGGAGCTTTTCCAATAGAGACTCTTTAAGACAGTGACCTTCAAACCTTTGTGTCCATGGTTCACTCTGAGGAACACATTTGACACACATACACACTCACACACACACACAGAAGAACATTGTTCTGACTGAAGTCACTACAAATTATTTGCGTAAGACAGAAGGCAGGAAACGGCCTGAAGAAGTAAGAAAATCATCTCTGTGGCAGGGTCTGGAAAATTCAGAACTAAAGGGAAGAAGGAATGGAATAAATGTGCCCCCAAAATACTGGTTATACCCCCCCAACCCACCCTCAACACACACACTGTTCTGCCATGATGCCTCCTTTCCTGTGTATCTGACCTGAAATTGATGTTACAAATGTTGCAAATCTCTGGAATCAGAGTGCGTTATCTGCAAAGAAATAATTATCTCCCTGTAAAAAACCCACTGAGCAAAGAGGAAGCTGCATCTCTCCACCAGCACATTATCTTTTGTGATTAACTCTGCCACTTTGAAGAACACAGAGGGTGTGTGCACTTGCAAGCAAAGATACAAATTACTGAGTCAGATCCCTGAAGGAGAGAAGACCGTTTTATAACATCTCAGCATTTTACATGCCATTGTGCATTGTTACTGCCTGGAAACGGAGCAATTTCCATGGATGATAAGAACCTCAGGATGAGTACTGACTGCCTACATCAGTGCCCTCCAGCATCCAACAGGCTGCATGCGGTCTTTCCCAAGAACCTTCCTCATGGCCCCCTTCACGTCTTTGTTTCTCAGTGTATAGATGAAGGGATTCAGAGTAGGGGGTCACTAGGCAGTAGAAAAGGGTGAGAAACTTGCCCTGGTCCTGGCTTGCCACGTTCCCGGGCTGCATATACATGTAGATGATGGTGCTGTAGAAAAGGGACACCACCACCAGGTGGGAGAAGCAGGTGTTGAAGGCCTTTTGCCTCCCGGCCGCAGACTGGATCCGTAGCACTGCACTTGGAATAAAACCGTAGGAGACAAGTATCGTGGTGAGAGGCACAAGCACAATGGAAATGGCCAGGAAGAAAGCCAGGCCTTCAACATGGCCGGTGT